TTGTAGCTTCTTCATCCCTAAGTTATCTTAGAGAAATATGTATTTATTTAATATAGTAAGATTATGTTCATTCATTGAGTTACATTATTATCTTCTGCATGTAAAATCATATTGATAAATTCGTACAAGCTGTGAACTTCAATCTTAAAATCATTGATTCGCGTAACACGCAATCATTATTATAACTTAATGAATGGAAGATCAATCCTAGGGGGATTCGATCTGACCTCTTCCATACAGGTTAAAAAGCTTTAAATAATTTTTTAATCAACAACCTCTGATAGGTTAAATATCCTAGGTATTATTACTTAATTTTTATATCCTTGATTCAAGGCATACACGCTCTTTATTGCACCTGAATCATTGGATGATTAATCCCATGGGGATTCGATCCGACCTCTTCCACACAGGTTAACGCCATCGAAAAAACTCTGGCAAACAACCTCGAATAGGTCACACATCCTTGGTGGATCCTCTCAACCTTTTCCATACATATTAGCATCATCGAGTGACGCTCTGATATATAACCTCAGATAGGTCATACATCCTTAGTGGATTCTCCTAACCTCTACCACACAAGTTGGTACACATTTACTAAAAGCCTCAGACAAGTCGAGTACCTTAAATAAGCATAAATAAAATTCACTTGAGCTGAAATAAGAGCACTAAAATATTTTCTACTAATAAATGCATCAACAATCATCTACTAAATCATAGAAGACAATACATATAGACACAATAATTTAATATATCATAATCACTTAAAAAGATAAAGTGATATAACTAATAGAGCATAAAAAAATAAAAATGCTACTCAATATCTATAATCTCATCATCCACTTTAATAGCAAAGGCCTTCAACAGCTCACTCTTTATCTCATCGCCATCAAAGTCTAAAGACAAGTCATCTGAAGCTTGGCTAGGGGTCACCCCCTTGACTTGAACTCCGATCTTCCACTGTATCATGCGAACTCCCTTCAAAAAGCCTCGGATAAATCAATCATCAATACACTGCAGCTCCAAGGCCATCACTTCTAAATTATAGATATGATCTTGAGCCTCCTAAACGTGATCCTGGATGATGGTCTTGAAAGATTTGGACTTCTTACAATCTTCAATAACTTTTGAAGGTTCTGAGCCAGATAAAGCAGCCTCCTTCTTGGCTATAAGAGTCTGGAACCTCTTATTCTCTGCCTCAAGCGCCGATATATTTCCTCTAGAGGCCTTTTGATCTTTCAAAAGCAAGGTGATTGTCGGTTGTGCCTCCTCCAAATCAATTTGATGATGATCTGCTTGCTAATTTTGAAGAGACACATAGTGTATTGTATTGGCCAACTCAGTCCTGCACTCTCTCAACTCCTCCTCTGGCACATTTGCCTCTTGGTTTTATGATTGTACTTTTGCTTGAACTCTCGTTGAAGATATTTGATCTTCATAAATTCACTGTTCTAGTCATTGAAAGCTTCAGTAAGCTAAATTGCAAGGCACGACAAATGAAATAAGGGAGAAAATTGCATTAGAATCCACCCTTGAAGAAAGAAATAAAAAACAATTGGAAGATATTACTCACCAGGTCATTGGCTTTGTGGCGTCCAATACATTTATGGTTCAAGACATCCCCAGGGATGTGAAACTTGGCAGGGGAAGAGTCAGGTAGAGCTTTATCGATATTTGTCGCAGTTCCCTTCAACCTCTTCTTCTTCTTGAAAACCTGGGGCTCTTCACCCCTTGTCGGTCATTTAGGAGTCACCTTTGAAGCTGGGGCAGGGGGATTGATAACCTTAGAAGACAGTTTCAACATCCTTGCATCAGACATTCCAACGTGAAATGACAGCCCAACCTTAAACAAGAACTCTTCCTCTATATCTACTCATGTAATGAACCTCGTATAGAAGATGTTCTAAAATATTAGGTTAGAAAATTTTAAAATTAAAATTGGGACCATATGAACTCCAATTTTAGCAAACTTATAGTCGAACTAAGCATCTCAAGAATATGAACCCATCGACACCTAATCCAACCCGATCTGAGCCCAAATTGGTCCAAATCAAGGGTTAGAAGCATTATTGGAAGGTTCAAACCATAATTTGGATTACCAAATGGTTTCCAAACATAACGTGCTTATAGTCGAATCGAGCGGCTCGACGAGACAAATCAAACAAGCCTAAGATCACTAAAATCTGATGTCACTAAGTATTCAAATGTTCATCAAACGGTCCATGATCAATTGATTCAACATCAGCCATCCATCTAACCACTCACCATTTACCCTTGATCTCTCACCTATTTACGGGCCATGCCACTCCATAAATCTATAAATAGACCCTTCATTCCTCTTGAAAAGGGATCCAAACAAAAAAGAGAATAAGAGAAGAACAGAAGAGAAGGAAGAAAAGGAAGAAGCTCCTCCTCGACCACCGCCTGAGTTCGTCGAACCATCACCTGAGTTCACTGGACCACCACCTGAGGCCCTCGCCTTTGTCAGACCAACACCTGAGGCCCTCACCTTTGCCGGACCACCACTTAAGGCCCTCGCCTTTGTCGGACCACCACCTGAGGCCCTCGCCTTCACTGGACCACCACTTGAGGCCCTCACCTTTGCAGGACCACCACTTGAGGCCTTCACCTTTACCGGACCATCACCTAATGCCCTATGCTCTGTCAGACTATCACCTAATGCCCTGTGTTCCATCGGACTACCACCTGACGCCCTGTGCTTCGTAGACCACTACCTGACGCCCTGTGCTCCGCTAGACCACCACATGACACCCTGTGTTCTGCCGGACCATGCACCACCTGACACCCTGTGTTCTGCCGGACCATGCACCACCTGACACCCTGTGTTCTGCCGGACCACCACCTGACGCCATGTTGAGCCCCGGCCACCACCTGATGCCTAGATTTTTGTCATATGACAACTTAAGGCCTGGAATTCTGCTAGACCACCACCTGAGGCCCGATGTTTTGCCGGACCATCACCTGACACTCGAATTTATGTCGTACAGTTGATACTTGCAATATGATCGCCCTTGGAGGTGAGTCATCCCATTATAACCAACTCAAAATCTAGTTGAATCATTTTCAATTGGGTCAGGCCCTGTGATTTTTCCCTTTTTTCAGGGCATTCCACGTAAAAATTTTATCCACGTAAAAATTTTATATTCTTTGTCTGTGAGCTAGATATTCTTGCAACACAAAGATGTAGTAATCTAACTCTACCGTCGCACATATTCTAGCCCGCAATAATAATTATCAAATTAATAGTGAGCCTCAGATAAGTTACATGATCAACTCATTAGGTCAGTAGAACGATTGAAATTTGAATAATGCTTAAAGAGGCAAATTATAAAAAATGATAAGGCAAATTATAGACAACTTGAATATTGTTGCTTGCATGGGGATGATGATTAGGAAAATGTTTCAGATATTAATGATGTTAAGGCTAGTTGAGGATTAAGGTGGTAACGTGATTGGTTCAAAGATGTATTGAAAATGATATCTCAGGTCGGATGTAAAGCTAAGCAAATTGTTTCTGTGTCAAGAATTGAGGATTGTGTAGATTGTAAAAGATTTGAATCCATTTTTCCAATGGATTTTTTTAGTGTCCGTGTTTATTTATGACATGAAATAACTCGCAACATGAGTCTTACTTATTAATATGTGATAAAAAATTTTACTTTAATAATTTGATTCCTCTTTACCGACAAAACCCCATGCTCACGAGAAGAATAACATTAATGGTTTTTGCTATGGCAGTGATGATTAGGGGTGTCAATTTTGGGTCATGGGTCAGGTTTAGGTCGAACCCGAAACTGACCCGGCACTATTCAGGTCAACCTGAACCCGACTCCTTTTTGCAAACAGGTAGATTTTCCGGACCCGAACCCAACCCGCTTCGGGTCCGGGTCAACCCTACATGACCCGGGACCATGAAAAAATGATAGTTTTTGGGTCCAAAAATAGGTCCATTTTCGCTTTTCGGGTAAAAAATGGGTCAATCTAGGGTTGGCGGGTCAAAAAAGGGTTTTCGGGTAAAAAACGAGTCAATTTTGGGTCAAAGGGTCAACCCGAACATGACCCGATTTTTGAAACGGTAGAAATGTTGAACCCGACCTGTTTGCGGTTCGGGTTAACCCTAACCCAAAATTTTCGAGTCGGATTTTCGGGTCGTGACACTCCTAATGTTGATAAGAGAGACACAAGTAATCAAGGAGAGAGACTTGTTGTCTTGAGATTTCAATTTCATTGAAGTCAACCAAATATATAATGCATTAGGAATATGTATTTTGATTGATAGAATGCCTTAAAAGAGATTGCCAGCTTAAAAAAAAAAAAAACAAAAAACCAGCAAAGCCAACTAGATAATAATGAGTAACACAACCTTTTTTGATCTATCAGTTGGGAGCTTTGATTAATTAATTTTGACTATTAATTAAGAGGTATTAAATTTAAAATTTGTATATATGGTGTCTATAAATTTGTCTTAAATTATCTTAATATTTCCAAGAAGATAACAATGAAGAAAGAGAATTTTGTTAAAACCCCCACCGGTTCTCATTTAAAGTTTTTTTTTTTATTTCTAGTCAGAATAAATCTTGGAAAGCGATGAAATGCCTTCTTTCTATTTTTGCCCCTGCAGACATTGAGAATTTGAGAAAATCATTTCAGATATTTTGCTCCGGAATAAACCAACGCCTCCCTTAATGAAATACACGAACAAGTGTCCAGCATTAATTAGAGCTTGCATTTTAATATTTTATCAATCTTAAAGTATCTTAATGATGATCTTGTTCCTCAAAAGAATTTTTTTTTTTTGTAAATTGCACCGAATTTCTCCCACCCATTTACCCTGCTGCAAAACCGAAAAAGGACAGCTACATGCATTTAATCCTCTCTGTTACTGCAGCACCCACTGCTCCACACCCTTCGTCCTCTCTATATCTAATTCCTCTCTGACTGTATTCCATGCACCACTGCTCTTGTTGCTCAAGCTAGCATCCATGGCTTCGTTATTGAGCATCAGCTCCGCATCTTCTCTCTTCATGCTTTTCTTCCTCCTGTTCTTGCAAGCTTTTGCTCCATATTCGACCGCTCAAGAAGCAGCCGGCGGCGAGCGGCGGCCATTAGTGCCGGCGATGTTTGTGTTCGGCGATTCCCTCATTGACAACGGCAACAATAATAACCTGCCTTCTTTAGCCAAAGCCAACTACTTGCCTTACGGCATCGACTTCGCCGGCGGCCCGACCGGCCGGTTCGCCAATGGGTACACCATTGCTGATGGGATTGGTATGTATACGAGCAAAAAATAAAATATAAAAAATCAGTATTAAATTAAGAAGATTTTTAAATAAAAAAAACACTATTCTGTTTTTTTTTTCAAAATTACATTTATCATTTCTAATTTTTTTTATTTTATTTTTTAATAGAAAAACTGAAAA